ACAAATTGGTGGGGCCCATGAGATGCCATCAGGGGTGGCACGTCCCACCTCTTGGATCTTTCTATTTTTATTGTGATCAAGTTATTTGGCTTGAAGCCTAAGATATCAAGTGTTTAGGAAAGATTGAATTTTTTAGGAAGTTTTGAAACATAATAAGGAATGTGTGAAGAGGCTTGTGCATGAGTATTAAAAACAATATTATAATTGATATTTACTAATTTATTCTAATTGATGGGAAAATGGTTTAAGAAATGGGGAATAAAGGTTCTAGCAATTGTATATGATCTTGATGACCTATCTATAGAATAGAGGGCTTATATCTCTCACTCTCCAAGTCACATAAGATCAATGGTGCATATTCAATCTCAGAACAAGAAGCAAACCATGGAAACCTTAAGAAACCTTTAAACCTCTTGAAGCACTATAAGGGGGTGGCCCCTACCCACATTCTCCACACCATATCTCTTCCCTCTCTCTCTCTCATAAGACTCACATAGGGGGCATGCCCCACATATAGTATCTCTCCTTCCCTACATAGAAACTCTTCTCTCTCTCTCTCTCTCTCTCTCTCTCTCTCTCTCATGGTAAGCAAATAAGGGGCACGCGCCAGTCATGGTTGTTTGGATCTCTCTCCCATTTTGTTGTGTTATGACCTAAAGAATTAAGGGTATAATAAGGAGATGTTATCCCTCTCAACTAGGTCGTCAAGGAGTTCTACTTAAGTTTGAGATTTTGATTGAAATGAGTTATTGTTCCATTGGAGGGTTTTGGCCTAAATTACTTTCCCATGCTTAAGATTGAAGGTTGACCATTGATCTCGCTCCATCGAAAGTGGTGACTCAGTTTGGGGTGTAAGAAGCCCAGTTAAGATAATCTCTGGTACTCTCTTTATTGTTTCTTGTCATATTTACTTTTGGTGTCGTTTATTATTCACAAGCATAGTTTGTGTGTTTCTTTTATTATTAAAATAAAGGTTTTGAGCAACATCAAGTTTTAAGATCCTAGATTTATTTTTTTTATTTCTTTTGAAGTTTATTTATTGTAAAATGACTACTTGTGAGTGATCTAAGCTGTGAAGAAAAAGAAAAAGAATAAAGAAAGAAGAAAAAATATATATATATTCCGGCTAGATCACATAAAGTCCAACTTTTAGGTTTCAAGTTTCTGAATATCTGATTAGTGTCCGGGTCAATTTTCTGGGCTCACAAGGCTCATAGGTGTCTAAGGTGACCATATGAGGGTATTGGGATTAGTTTTAGAATAATTCTATTGACTATAGGTTGCTTATGGTCTACTAGAGTTTGTGTGATCTTTTGGACTTAGAATCAAGGTTTTAAAAATTCCCTTAGCCTGAATTTCTAGGGGGTGTCTACATCCCCCATAATTCCAACTTGTATACACGTACCACAATCCAACAACCAAACGGGCCTCCACCATTAATCAATTCTACAAGAGACCAAGAAGCCCAAATCAAGCAATTCTTCAGTTCTTGGACTAAGGTTGAGCAGAAAAGAGACCATATTATCGATGTAAAAAAAATGAAGAAGAAAATATAAATAGGGAAAATATCTTCATACTCCCTATTTTTAAGTTTTATATCTCAATAGACCCAAAGTTTCAAAACATATATTGGGTCATAAAAATTATAAGTTTTATATCTTTTAACCCTCTAAGCTAACTTTATCTCCCTATAGACCTATTTTTTTTTTCAAACAAATATAAGAAAGACATATCCTTTCTAAACAACATCATTTCTCTCTCTTCACATGATTTTCCCCTAAATCTCTCTCTACTTATTTTCCCCCTCTCTCTCCCCCCATGTCTCTCACTCTCTCTCTCCCCCATTAGAGAGACAAAGATGGTGAATATTACAGAGAGAAATTTGAGGGGAATATATCACGTAAAGAGATGAAGGATTTACAATGAACATGCATTTTTTATATTTGTTAGGGCTAAAAAATAATTCAAAGTGGGTAAAATTAATCAGGGGGTTAAGAGATATATTTTGAATCTTTGTCTATTGAGATATGAAAATAAAAAATAGAAGGTACGAGGATATTTCCCCATATAAATAATACAAAGAGATCAAGATGAGTAAGCTATCCACGAGAATGACCGGCCTCGAAATGGATCAAGGCTATTAAAAGAAGGGTGCGGTTTATATAGAGCCTAGGCTCTAAATAATCAAATTAGAGCCTACTTTCAAATAGTATCGAGAAATGTGGTTTCAATATTGGAAATCTTTGTGATAGACTTAAAATATATTTTTTATATTTATTTATAAATTTTAAAGCTTCAAAAATAGTGTAGATCGGCAGATCTATGAAAACTTAAAAATCTTGAAAATTGATTGTCCAAAAATACGCTACATAATACACTTTTTCCAAAACTTAAAATCCAATTTTTTCTCGTGTTCATACATCTTGATGTTGAGATGATCAATTTGAAGATATTTAGGCATCAAAACAACCTCTTTTAGTAAAATATTTTAGGTAGACTCAAATTTGATTGTTTAGAACCTCGACTCTATATAAACTTTTCCCTTAAAAGAAACATCGAAATGGGAACCAATATACTAAAGCAAGTAACGAACTCTCTCAATAGAGAGTAAATGCTCTCTCAATAAAGAGCAAATGACTCTCTCTCTCTAGAGTTTCACTTATTTATTTGCTTTGTGGTTATATCAGGTACCCAAAGAAGGCTGAAGGGAAATTGGGTTATATTAGGGTGCTCATACATAGGGGTATTTTTTTATTATGCTCAATATTTTGGATCATTTATTGCCGTTTGCTTATAATAAAAAAATTTAAAATAAAGATATTTTTTGTCAATGGGAGAAGATATTTCTATAAAAAACCAGTGACATTTTACTAGTGGTTAAAAAACAATCATTCTTTTATGTGTGTGATGTCATGTCTTATGCGGATGATATCTTCCTCCATCATAATTAACAAGTGTTTTCCTTTCTACAATTTTTTTATTTTATCTTTGATTAATTAGCTAAGATACACCTAGACCAAAAAGACACTACATCGTAGGATAAGGGTATCAAGTATCTAAACTTGCTAAGTACCTTAACAAAATATTCATATGTATGAATACCTTAACATAATCCTCAAAAAAAAAAAAAAACTTAGGAGACATTTTGGTGAGATTCTTATGGATAATACTATAATAGGGTGTTGTATAGAGCCTAGGCTCTAAACAATCAAAGTAAAGCACACCTTTGAATAGTGTCGAGAAATGTGGTTTCAATACTGTTGTGATAGCTTTAAAAAATATTTTCATCTCTAATTATAAAATTTCAAGCTTAAAAAATAGCGTAAATCGAATAGATCTATGAAATCTTGAAAACCTTGAAAATTGACAGTAAAAAATACATTACAAGATGCACTATTTCCAAAACTTGAAATACATTTTTTTCTCATGTCCATGCATCTGGATGTCGAGATGATCAATTTGAGGATATTTGGGCATCAAAACCACCTCCTCTAATAAAAGTTTTGTGGTGGGCTCTAATTTGGTTGTTTAGAGCCTCGGCTCCATCTAAACTTGTTCCTAGTACGATTTTCCCAATATTTTTATCACTACTCTCAAATTCTACTAGCAAGGAATGACTTTTGGTCATCCACCCACGTTATATGCAATGATACCCTCACGAAAGCTTTAATTTTCCACCCACCACCTCTCAGGCCCCACCTCCTTGCGATAGGGACGAAAGAGAAAGTCAGAGAATTCCAGGCTTGCATTCCTACAGTGCGAGCAACTGCCTAGCCGTGCGATCTTCCACACGGGCGGCTGATTAGCATCGTTCCCTGCATAAAAAACATATTATCCTCCAACGCTGCGCTCCTAAGCCTCCTCCAATAAAGAGCAAAAGAACATCCCATCTCACGCCTCTCTATCCCACAAAAATAATATTAACAAATGTGAGATGTTAGTTAGCCACCCATGTTTTATTTATTTTAAGAAAATTGTTTCAGGACAAACGGCATATGTTTCTTTAATATAATTATTATTTTTATTTTCATTTTTTTTCATATTCATAATCTCTATGTTACATATTATATATACTTTAGGATCAAATTTTATTTAAAAAATTTACTTTTTTGCCTACCCCGCATTTCATCATCAAAATCGGGGCCTTTATTTTAATAGAAGATCAAATAAATGAGGACCATCAAAGTTCTTTTTTTTTTGTTTCACGTTTATTCCTTTTTGACCGTCACTTGCTTCTTGTTTTATTGGGTGTGCTGAACATAAACACACCGTCACATTTATTATTAGGGAGGTTCATATAAGATTGAGTTTTTGTTTTTTTTTTTTTTTTGACAATATATAAGGTTGAGTTCTAAGTTGCACCCCTAAAATTTAAAAATTTGCTTAAAGATATCATTATGGTGTTTGAAATCTTATAATGATTTGAAAATCTATTTTAATCTCTAATTAAAAAATTTAAAATTTGAAAAAAAAATGTAGATTGAGTAGATTAATAAACACTTTTGGCTCAGATAACTTATAACAAGATGCAGTACTTATTAGATTTGAAATTCTTTTTTTTTTTTCACTTCCATGCATCTCGAGATCAAGATTATCAATTTGACAGTTCTTCAATAGTGTAAGGTTGTAACTTCATATAAAACTTTTATTATTATTATTTTTTTATTATTTTATTTTATTATCTATCACCAAAAAATTATATATTCAATTTATTTTTATTTTTTGGTAATTCCGTGGAGAAGACAGGCCTCCCCTTTTTTTCGAATTACATTTTGATGGTGATGTTACCACCACTAACCAAGCTCGTTTACTTAAGAAAGGGTAAGTCAATGAGGATTTGGACCCCTTCGATTTCGGGACAAAAATTAGCTAACTTTCAGAATCAGTACACAATGAAGTCATTTTTCCCCGGGCGATTTGGTATTTCACCTTTTTTTTGTATTATTGTTATTGGTTCAAACTTCAAACCCATTTTTCCCTTCCATAATAACACATGAAACTAGAGAAAAAAATAAAATACAACTGAAATCACTCATTGAATTGGATGAAACACCTCAATTCCATGAGCTCAATCACGGGTTCAGTTCCTCCCCAAAAATAAATAAACGTGGTTTTACCCTTCTTTTCCTTTGTTTTGGATTCAACACCATTATTCAAACCAGAAATGGAAGATCAATCAGGAGCTTCCGCCCCTTGAATCAGATGCTCTCTTTCTGCTTCTACAGTATGGTGTTCTCTGCAAACGATCCTTCTCGTTCGATCTCCTGGGCTCTGCAAAAAGCAACCAGCAATGAGTCCCCAAACCGGAAACCTCGCACGATGCACAACCCCCTTGAGCTCCCGCACCACCTCTTTCATACACGGCCTCCTCTCCTCCGCTTTATCGACACACCTCACCGCCACCGCCATCAAAGCCCACACCGCTGCTGCGGGTGGGCCGAGCCGTCTATCCCACACCTCCGCCACTCGGCCCTCGTCAACGAGCAGTGTAGCCCACTCTGCCACCATCGGCGGCTCGTGATCGACATCCACGGCCTGTCTCCCACTTAATAGCTCTAGCAGGACGACCCCAAAACTGTACACATCAGTCTTTGTACTCAGCTTTGAAGGTGCTGTGTAGGATGGATCAAGGTACCCGATTGTGCCCGCAGGTGCGGCTGTCGACCCGGGACCGCGAACGGCTAAGCCAAAGTCTGCTAGCCTCGCTCTGTGACGGTCATCGAGAAGAATGTTTGCCGATTTAATGTCACGATGGATCACAGATATATCGTGCAAGGCTGCGATGGCCTTGGCGACTTGGAACGCAGTGTTCGTGCGTCGGTACCAACGCGGTGGCAAGATTGGGGCTGCAGAGCTATGCAGCATCTGGTGGAGGGTGCCATTCGGCATGAAGTCGGTGACTACCAGCAAGTGGTCATTATCCCGGGCACGGGCAAAACCGAGGAGGTTGACAAAGAAGGAGCTGCGGTTCAGGGAGGAGAGGACGACGATTTCGTTTTCGAGTTTGGTTTGATCTTGCAGGGTTTGGAGGCCATTGGAGATTTTCTTTATGGCAACGGTGGTTCCGTCGAGGAGGACACCTTTGTACACAGAACCATGGCTGCCTTTGCCGATCAGCCTGTTTATGGAGAAGCTCTCTGTTGCAATTTCGAGCTCTCTGTACGTGTATTCCACCACTTTCACCTTCATTTGGATGGTGGGTTTTGTTCTGTGTTTCCTCTTCAATAGATGAGTTTTTCTCCTCTCCGATTATGTCGGATGCTTCGACTCGATCCCTTCAGTTTTTATTGGTAGTTCTCTTTCTGTGTCTTTGGTTTTGGTGGCGGGTTTTATTCGCTTCTAATTTCCATGGCTTTGTTGGTGGTGGGTTTTATTCTGTTTGGTATAAAAAACTGCTGCCAAAAGCAAAAGGGGAGGCGGCAAGAATCAGCAAAGCGTGACTGATAAAGGGGGTGGCTTTCGGGACCTGAGTGCGCTGCTGTCATGTCTCTAACTAAAGAACCACACTTAGAGAGAGAAGATGGAGGTTTTATATATATAGAGAGCACCGATTTAAAAAAAGCCGTGCCCGTACGGAATCGCTCGATCCCATCTGATAATTGGTACTGCGTACCGGTTACATGAACATATAGAAAATCGTTTTGGTCTAAAAGAGAACCAATGGTTTGCTAAATTAAAACGCCATTTTTGCTAGAGCGAAAATGCCGTTTCACCGATTCAAACAGGTTTTTGGCTGGTTCATTGTTTTTGGACATATTTTTTCGTTACTGTTAGTAAAGCAACGATCCGGACCAGTTTTTACAATGCCCGATCCTAGTTTTAGAGAGAGAGATTGGTGTGTGAGAATTTGGAATGAATAGAAGAATTAATGGGGGGGCTTAGAAGCAAGTTGAAGAGCCAATTCTTTACTGGAAGAAATGAATTCGTTGAGGCTTTGCTCAGCAGTTGGTGATTGTTTGTTTGTATAAAAACAATATTAATTTGGTAAATAGAAATTATAGGAATAGGGGCCTGAAAAAGGACTTGGAGATGAGCACCTAAAAAGTGGGGTCCATTACAATTGAAAATGGTATGTTCATAAACAAGTTAGGGATTACTTTTGTAGATCGTGATTATAACATCTACCAGCTTCAATTCCCCAAGAACAGAGAGAGAGAGAGAGAGAGAGAGAGAGAGAGAGAGAGAGAGAGAGAGAGAGAGAGAGAGAGAGAGAGAGAG